TGCACACACTTCTGCGAGGTTGTTATGCAAGAGAATAGGCACAAGCGCGCCCTCAGCATCTTCAGATAATGGAAGCGCGGGTGCTCAAGGCCAAGTATATGTACGCCCACGACGCACAAGCACGACAGGACAACAGTGCGCGTCGTTGTTTTCGCTGTGTCGGTCTTCAGCACAAAATGCAACCAACCTAACACGCTCAACGACGTCCGTTTACTCTTGTCGGGAAAATCTCAACGTCAACGGCCGCAGAGTGCATGCTTTGGTAATTAGCGAGTTAGGTTGGGATTGCTATCACAGCCCGTGCTGACGATGGCTATCGAGATAGGGAGAGGGTGGTTGGGCGGCGAAACCGCGGGGGCGGAGTGCTGGATGGCATGGCCAGGTGGAGACGCCCCATGTTTCTAGCACAGCCTGCAGGTCTGACACCTGTCGGCTGTTGGCTGGACTCTGCAAAGCACTTCAGGTCAGGCCCCCAGTGAGTTGTTTTCGCAGAAATGGGTCGAGGAAGGGAAATTTTGGGTGGGTAAGTGAATCTGGCCTCATTATCGTCCAGATTCGTTGTAGTTTTGTTTACGCTCAAGTTATCGGACCGAGTGTGAAAAGGTTAAGGCTTTCGGATCATGGTCATAGCACCACTCTGGCCTGGCTCTGGAGGAAACTGGTGCCCTCGATTCGCCCCTTTTTTTTGTTGGAAGGAGAGGGGGGAGGGGAGGAATGGGGGAAGGGCAAGGGCTGCGCCGAGGGAAATGGGGCTGATATGTGCTCAAATTTTCTTTCTGCCCCTCCATCTTCCGGCTAGTCTCGATTTAGTCTTTCCGTGGAGAAAAGGAAGTGCTTAATTGAGATGCTAAATGGGTTTAATTGAGGTCCCAAATGGCTCAAGTGAGAGTGTTTTTCTGATGTCGTCTCCAGTACAGGGTTGTGGTTGAGTTGTTCTGCTGCAGAAAACTGCAGATGATCTCTCTGTCTGTTTTTTCATGGTCTGTCTCTCTCCAAGGACATCCCGAAGCCTTCATTTCAACGCCAGAAGCACTACCTCCTGGACGGTGGGACTGTACCCCTATTCGACAGTGAGACCGTAACTATCTGGGACAGTGGGACTGTACCCTATTGGACAGTGGGACTGTACTATATGGGACAGTGGGACCAGAAGCACTACCTCCGGAAGCGGGACCTCCTGTCCTCCTAGCAGTAAATGCCCGGTGCTTTTGACAACATTCCATGGGAGAATCTCAGTCATCCACAATGCCTGCTATGTGGGACAGTGGTGCCATATTATAATCTGGGACAGTGGGACCGTACTATATGGGACAGTGGGACCATACTATCTGGGACAGAGAGACTGTAACCTGTTGGACGGTGGGACTGCACCCTACAGGACAGTAAGACCGTACTATCTTGGACAGTGGGACTGTACCCTATTGGACAGTGGGACTGTACTATATGGCACAGTGGGACCATACGATCTGGGAAAGTGGGACCATACTATCGGGGACATTGGGACTGTACTATATGGGAGGGTGTGACTGTACTGCACGGGACAGTGGGAAACTTGGACTGTACTATCTGGACACTGGGACTGTACCATCTGGGGCAGCGGGACCATAGTACCGGGGACAGTGGGAGTATACTATCTGGGACTGTTGGACCGTACTGTCTAGGACAGCTGAACTGTACTATCTGGGACTGTGGGACCTTACTATATGGGACCATGGGACCCTACTATATGGGACAAAGGTG